AAGGAACGACAGTTGGTCTTTTAGTATCCATCTAGACGATGCCACTCAATACTGTCAATATGTATAGACGATTCAAGGTTTTCCGCGCAAAATATAATTCTAAAGCGTCTGTCAACGTATATACTAACTTCTGTGCGCGTACGGAACATCTGATATTAATTAAATGCAGCTTGACAATTGGCTCTCTGAGGTACGACTTATGCAGAGACCAGAAAAGATATTGGCGACATACATTCTGTTGTCAGTAATAGCATTTGGAATGATCTACAATAGATATCATGAGACTGACTATGCATTTATTCATTAACCATTCTCACAGGTTCACAAATATGTTGGGCCAAAATTAATGTTCAGCAACCCATGTTGTAAGAGCGAACTAATATGATTGGGTGGTCGTTCTCACTTACTTGTTTGATGCATGCCATCGTATCCCACTTGTGAAGATCGATGCTCATAGTGTCATGACCATGCTATGTGTAACTCTTTTGTGTATATCATTACATATTACTAAAACCAAGGCATGCATATTTTTATGAACGTTACAGTAGAAGCAAGATGTTTATATGAATATTGTCTAGGAATTTCTCTTTGAGTTGTCCACAAAACTAGGCACTTAATGTTTTGTATTTAAAGCAGTACGTTTCTTTCGTAATAGATCTTCATCAAATATTCCTCTGTTCCTCTGTGATAAGGTTGCAAATAGGTTAAGACTAAATCGTTTCCGTGGACCTTCTTCAACATATCTGTGCATATAAACGCCAATGAGTAGCCATGAGTAGCTGCAAGAGGTTGAACCTGTTGTGTGCTTCGACATATGGATGTGGACATGAAACATGTTCCCGTGATCTTGACAATGTTGACATTGACTAACATGTCAACTGGGAATACACTATGACTATTAAGAACAATAAATACGAATTGATATGAAGGTAATGTTGCTTGTGTTATGATGGCATGACTGTGTGTAAGATACCAAAACGCCTTTCTGATGAGTGTGTCATATCTTTTACAATGTATCAATGTTTGCCGGTGTAAAATAAAGAAAGAAAACCAAAGTCGTAATATTTCACATTGTAAACAGAAAAAATGGAACACCATAATGTCAATTGTAAACCTTCCATTGGGATGTCATATTATTATCCATCAGCTTTAAGGGTTTCACGGCATGTCAGTGCAATACTGACACTTATCTCCTTCTGACATCAACTGAATTGTTGTTTCTGCTAGAATGTCAATAAACGCAAATTTGTATGATAGTTCAACAGTATCTTCGACATATTTAGTATTGTTGATACTTTGTAAAGCATGGAGCTGAAATTATCTTATGTTTTGCTGATCTAAATATAAAGTACCAACCTTTATTTCCTTGTAATGGTTTTTCATGAATACAATGCCAACCAAAGGTATATATGATCTTCAAATGATATAGCTGAATTAGAAAAACATAATTTTGGAAACAATTACCTTTGATTTGTAAAGTGCAACTCATATTTTCTCATCAAATGCCCTTTCTATTAAAATTGACCTTTGACCTTACCAAAATATTTTTGCGATGAACATATATGTTATATTATTGTCCACAATTTTCAATCATGGTCTGATCATTCAAAAACTATTTTTGTTATGAAAATCGTTCAAACCAAACCAGAGTTATTAAATTAAACCACCCAGTTATCGGTTAAAATATTGCCATAACTGACATGACATGTTGCACCTTAAAAGGGCCTCTGTACGGTAGTCAAGCACGGTAGCTGATGACAACCGGCTTTAAATCAAAGCTAAATCATTCCTGATCGTGAAAAATCACATCCCGTTTGGTCGCCAGAACTGCACCATTTTTTCACCATTTGGGGGGCCGGCTTCTAGTCCATATACATTTGCTATATATTGATCATTTTGAGCATGATAACCCTGGTGATATTAGAATAGATCTGATACATGTCAATAATCACACAATTTGATATCAACAATTATTCAGCCAGATAGCAGGTAATACGTTTGATTAAATGCAGCAATGGACTCTTTTTGCTTTACTTTTTTATATTTTACAGCAGTGCATACATACCTATATTACAACACACAATCAGTGATTTTGCTTTGAATTTTGGAGAATGTTCTCTGAAATTGTTGACCAGTTCACTATTGTGATTTGTTTTAAAAATTAAAATTGTATGGGGTGTCTCGAAATTGTGTCTTTTATGATATTTGGATATTGTGTTACCACCTAAACGTATTTGGACTAAAGCACAAACTACTCATGGTACACAGAGTAAAGAGGCAAATATGACATTGTACAGGTATTAAAAGAAAGTTGGAAATATACAATGCCAAGTTATATTTAAGATAGTTGATGCTATGATTGTCTCTATAGTGTGTTATGGTGCAGAAGTGTAGGGCACCCCATATTGTAAAATTATTGAAGATGTACAGCATAAAATGTGTAATACAACAAACAATGCTATGGTTTGGGGAGACTGTGTCAGAGCTCCTCTCAGACTTGAGTACACCAAGGGTTAAATATTAAGTATTGGTGCAGGCTACTGTATTTGGATGAACACTGACTGCCTCGCCAATGCTATCTAATAGACGACAGTGGCTGTACCATATGGGCTACTCATATAAAACATATTCTGTTTAGACTTGGATTTGAATATGTCTGGTTAAAACAAGATGTGAGAAATGTGAAGATATTTTTTCACCTTTTCAAACCATGATTATTTCACAACCTATTAATATTTCATAATGTGTCCGTTTTCCGATGACATAAAAAACTGCAGCAACCACTGCTGTATCTGGGGTTGGAGGGGTATATTCAGTTTTATATAATCATAGTGATGTGATTTTCCATATCTAGTAGAAAACACGCCAGTGGTCCGATGTGTAATCAACTTCTCGGCAGCATCACGCAGATGTTGCCATACCATGACTATTGTTATACTTTAAGATCAATGCCTATATTGTGTCACCATGATCAACCCCATGCAAAATGGAAGAAAAGATATGGATGTTATATTGAAATGATGTATGAAAAATAATAAATATATTCTTCTTTATTTTTATTTTTTTCACACTTACACTTTTGCATAAATAAATTTTCGAATTAATCAGTTATGTGTTTCAAATGTGTTAGATCTATTTATCATTAATTATATAATGTGGTAACAACCATTTTCTAGTTACTATTACTAGGCGTTCAGTTTATTTCCAGCATACAACAGGAGGAAATGGGACCAAATCATCGAATTATACCTAATCAAACTACATTAATACTAACTATATTCAATCAATTTGGTCGTTAAGATCCATGTTTTGTGTGTACTATTTCGAGACAACTAGGAGCTGACACGAAATATCAACGCACATGTCGGTGTTGGAAATGGCATATGTGTTATTGTTTACAAATGGCATATGTGTTATTGTCTCGAAACGGCTTAAATAACATTCAAGATTTTCGATGTTTACCGACGAGAGGCCAGACGTTTGTTCAAAGCAGAGGGTAGTGCTAATGCGAGGGTCAGTGGTCAAAATATGAAATGCAGTTAGACAAATTGAATACGATGAGTAGAAAGGTAAAAGCATGACCTACCTCAACACAATATTTTGTGTAGAATCGGGCTGTTCAGTTTCGATTAGGTTTCTAGCATCGCGAGTGTCACGCGATGTGTATTTTATGTAACGGATGTAACGGGTGTAGAGGTAGAATTTTCTAAAATATTCATTTCTTCACCGATTTTGTTCAAACTTGAAATATATGTTAATCATAACATATGTTGTGGCCAAAGTCAACTAATTACTCAAAATGAGAGAATCATTTTTCGTTTCCTTAAGTTCCAAATTTGTATCATTCCCTTTTTCACTTAAGTTCCTAATTTAAATTCATATTTCATTTAAGATTCTATGTTTTTGATACACCAGTCTATAAGTTACCCTTCCATACCTGTTAAGGGGAGGTAAATGCCTTGGGTCAGGTATATCATGCCATGTGCTCTCAGCATGCACATGCTCAAGTCACCAAGTTCACAAGCTAGAGGTCTAAAACAATGGTAAGCCACTTATCCTTTTGACTCAGACATAAAGTGGTTACATTAAATGCAATAATGCTTTATATATATATATATTTAATATGTTAAGGTTACAGTAGTTCTGTGATATCCATTCTGAGCACAGTCACTTGTTTTCCCCAGGTGTTGAGTATGTCACCATGTTAGCTCACCTTACCATACTTAACCTTTATGTTCATATGATATGCTGTGGAGTTCCATTTAAGTGAAGCTGGTTAACATTGAATTTTCATATGTTAAAAGTAAGAGAGATTTTCATCTCTTTCAGTCAATCTGCATTTAACTGATCTTGTATCAAGAAATAAGAAGACAAGAATAAAGCATTAAAGAAACAAGCCACTTGGTTATTTCAGCATTGACATTGTTAGACGTTAGAATGAGTAGTGAAGAAGAAAATGTTGAAGATATGAATATTGAACAAAGAACAAGAAAAATGACTGAAAGAGGTTTAGCATATGCCAAGGAAACAACAAGTAAAAAATTGGATAGTGTTTATAAACAGCTATTGAGGAATTATGATCAGGTTAAACCTGAAATGACAAGAGACCCTCTGACAAAGGACCAGGTTGAACAGTTACGTGTTAAATATGCAAAATGGTTAGAATTGTACAGTGGATTGTTCGAAATTCGTAGTGAGTACTCCAGGCTGCTGTGCGATGGTGAAGGTTATGACTTTGATGATACATGCAGGTTACAAGATATTACATTAACAGCTTTGAAGTCCACATTTGAGCATTTCTTCATGCTGTATGGCTCAATACAACGGGATATTGATGATGGTACCAGGACAAGTGTTATTTCATCAAAGAAGAGGTCTGTTTGTTCTCAAGGCACACGTTCAACACGATCAAGTATATCTTCTGCCCAGATACGGGAAATGCAGATAAAGGCTGAGTTACAAGCCAAAGTAAACGCACTTAAAGAGAGCAGCAGATTAACATGGAGAAGCAGGAGCTTAACATTGAGAAGCAGAAACTTGAAATTGCCCAGTTGAAAGTAGAAATGAAAGAAGAGGAACTGGAACTTAAGACTCAAATGGAAATATCCGATGCTAGGTGTAGAATTCTTCAGGACCATAACTATGATCAATTTGAATGTCATGGGTCTGACGAACAGCAATCGCAACAGCACACTGACATTAACATACCTCGCATTTCAACTGAAAAGGAACAGCCTGTTGGAGCGACCTCAGGAGAATCCAAGGATATTAATCAGCCTATTGACAAGACGCAAATTGTTTATAAGCCAGTGAACATCTGTACTGATGGTCAAGTCGATGCTACTCATGGTGACATTGGTGTAATATATTCTGTGGTGCAGCAGTTACGTAAACCTCCACCTGACATTCAGAGGTTTGCTGGAGATCCACTTGAATATCAAAGATTCAAGAGACAATTCCAGATAAAAATAGTAGAGAATTCTGATTCAGTTGATGAGAAGATGAGTTACTTGGAACAATTTACTACAGGAGAGGCTCTCAAAATAGTTAAGGGATGTAGTTATTTGGATGCAAGAAGAGGTTATAGGGCAGCTTGGTTGGAGTTGGAAGACCGATATGGCAATGAGGAGGTTGTAGCTTCTGCTCTAGTTAAACGTGCTCTTAGTTGGCCTCACATTAGAACAGACAATCCAAAATCTCTTGACGAGTATGCTATCTTCTTACAAGAATGTTTGAATGCTGTGAGTACTATCACCGCTGTCAAAATCCTTGAATATCCTGATAATCTGAGGAAACTGGTTATGAAATTGCCGTATTTCTATCATGAAAGGTGGAGAAATAATGTCTTGCATGTAAGAGATTCTGGAAGATTGGTTGATTTCCACGACCTTGTTAGCTTCGTCAAGCGTGAAGCTAAGAAAGCTACAGATCCCATGTTTGGTAAGGATGCATTAAAGGCAGAAGATAAGAGTAAACCACCTGTAAGAAAACCTGCAGCTACATCAATAAAGCCTTCGTTCAGTACTGATGTGCTAGGACCAAGCAAGCCCTCTAGGAATCTTCTGAAACCACCTTCTGTTGCGAATGTTGCAACACCTGTCAGAACACAGAATGAGCAAGGACCATGTATTTACTGTGATGATCTAACTCATTCAGTTGGTCAATGTAAAAGGATTATTTCAAAGCCTCACATGGAAAGATTGTCGTTTCTGCGATCAAAAGGCCTCTGCTTCAGATGCTTAAATAGAGGGCACATGAGTAAGGGTTGTGTCCAGAAGGTTGTTTGTTCACATTGCGGTGGGAACCATCAGTCCATTCTTCATGTTGACCGGAACACAGAGGTGAAGGTTATCAGTGCCTGTTCTGAATTAGCTAACATTCCAGGTACCTCTAAGGAGGCCGGTAACTATGAAAGTACTCTTGCTATCATACCCGTTAAGGTAGGATGTAGAAATGGCCTTACTGTTGGAACAACATATGCTTTCTTGGATCCAGGAAGCACTGTGTCTTTCTGCTCAGAAGATCTTATGAACAGGCTTGGATGTAGTGGGAAGAAGATGGAAATTACCATTGACACTATGGGACATCCACATACATCAATAGTTCAAGCAGTAAATGGTCTTCAAGTATACGATCTTGGGTTGAAGAATGTCATACCTTTACCGACAGTGTACTCAAGGGAGCAGATACCTGTATCTAACAAGCACATACCCACGTCCTTTGATGCATCACATTGGCCTCATCTAGCTGACATCAGAGTACCAGAAATTGATGCCAAAGTTGAGCTTTTGATTGGATCCAATGTACCAGATGCCTATTCTCCACTTGAGATTCGAACGGGTCCACAAGGTAGTCCTCATGCTACTAGAACTCAGTTGGGTTGGGTTCTATGGAATGTCATGCGAGCTCAAAAGCTGGAAGAAGGAAATCGTTTCCCATCCATGAAAACGGAAATTGCCTTCAAGAATGCTGAAGAAATAAGTAGACTTGACAAAATGGTGAAAGAAAGTATGAACTTTGATTTTCCAGAAAGGAACATTGATGACAAAAATGAAATGTCACAAGAAGATAAAGAGTTCATCATTGCTGTATCAAAGTCCATTCACAAGCAAGAAGGTCATTATGAAATCAAGCTGCCCTTCAGAAGAGAGAATGTTGTAATGCCTGACAATTCAGTACAGGCATTGCATAGACTAAATGGTCTAAAGAAGAAATTATCCAAGCATAAGAAATTCCATGAAGACTATAAGGTATTCATGAAAGACATACTTGATAAAGGATATGCTGAGAAAGTACCGGTCAGTGAAATTCAAGGTACCCAAGGGAAGGTATGGTACATCCCTCACCATGGAGTGTATCACCCACGTAAACCTGAGAAGATTAGAGTGGTCTTTGATTGCACAGTTGGTTACCAGGGTGTTTCTCTAAACAGCATGTTACTACAAGGTCCGAACCTCACCAACAACCTACTTGGGATGCTGCTAAGATTTCGTCAAGAAAACATTGCTGTGATGGGAGATATACAAGCTATGTATTATCAAGTGAGAGTGCCAAGAGAGGACTGTGACTTTTTGAGATTTTACTGGTGGCCAGATGGTGATTATACACAGGAACCACAAATGTACAGGATGCTTGTCCACCTTTTTGGAGCTGTGTCATCCTCAAGCTGTGCTACCTTTGCACTGCAACAAGCAGCTAAGGATCATAAAGATGAATATGACCCTGACATTACAAATATGATAAAGGAGAACTTTTACGTGGATGATTATCTTGCTACTGTTCAAGATGAAACACAGGCTGTACGTGTTGTCAAAGAAGTAACAGACTTATGTCACAAATATGGATTTAGACTTACCAAGTGGATAAGTAATAGTCATGATGTGATGAAATCTATTCCATCAGAAGAAAGAGCTAAAGATGTGAAACAGTTGAACCTTGACTGTGGAGACCTCCCAAGTGAAAGAGCTTTGGGCGTGTTTTGGTTTGTAGAGTCTGACACCCTTGGATTTCAAATTCAAAGTAAACATAAACCAAACACAAAGAGAGGTATCCTTTCCATAGTTAGCAGCATATATGATCCTTTAGGTTTCATAGCTCCATTTGTGCTCCATGCAAAACAGTTGTTGCAATGCCTTCAGATGAAACAATATGCATGGGATCAAGAAATAGATGATGCTTCACGAGACAAGTAGCAACTATGGCAACAGAACTTACCTAGATTAGAGGAAATCCATATTCCACGTTCTTACAAGCCTAAGGACTTTGGCAAGGTGGTATCATGCCAGATACATCTTTTCTCTGACGCCAGTGAAATTGGATATGGAGTTGTGGCTTATCTCCGCCTCTTGAATGAAGTTAACATGGTTCATTGTGTCTTGGTTATGGCCAAGTCTAGAGTTGCCCCACTGAAGAAGATAACCATTCCTAGAATGGAACTCACGGCAGCTGCCCTTGCTGTACGACTGTCTGGCATGATCACTCAGGAGCTTCAGTATCACATAAATGACACCATATTTTGGACAGACAGTATGTCTGTCTTAAGATACATCTCAAACACAACTTCACGTTTCAAAACATTTGTGGCTAACCGCATTGCTGTAATACGTGAAGCTACAGCTGTACATCAGTGGAGATTCGTTGACACAAAGTCAAATCCTGCAGACTATGCTTCAAGGGGTATAAATCTTGGCAATCAAAGGCAGATGAACTGTTGGTTTAATGGACCAAGTTTTCTTTGGCACCCTGAAGCTGATTGGCCTCAGTCAGAAATATTGCCGAGTACTTCCATGGAAAAGGACCCTGAAGTAAAGCAGTCTGTAAACTATGCTACTTTACATCCAGACAATGGTGTTTTCAACAGACTTGTGGACCACTATTCTAGCTGGAAAAAGTTGAAAAGAGCAGTTGGATGGTTAATTCTAGTTGTGAGAAAACTTCGACAGAAGAATTCGCGTAATAACGATGAACACAAAGATGACTTTGACAATTATCAGATGTCTACTGATGTGCTTCAGAGTGCTGAAAAATTACTGATTCAAAACTGCCAGTGTCAACACTTCTCAAAGGATCTTGAAATCTTGAGAGTAAAGAATTTCTCACTCTCAGGTAAGACAGTAAGAAAGACCAGTGCCTTATATAAGCTTGATCCATTTCTCGAAAATGATGTTATCCGAGTGGGAGGACGCCTTGGGCAATCCAAGATCAACTATGAATCAAAGCACCCAATAGTTTTGCCAAAGAACTGTCATCTGTCTAACCTTATAGTTAGCTTGCAAAATGTGTCATTTGTCGTAAGTATCAAGCCCCTGCTGGTCAACAGAAAATGGCAGATCTTCCAGAGAGCCGGTTAAAGCCTGACATGCCCCCTTTCACCAATGTTGGTATTGACTACTTTGGCCAATTTCAAGTCAAGCGTGGTAGAAGCCGTGTCAAAAGGTATGGTGTGCTTTTCACCTGTATGGCTATTCGGGCTATTCATCTGGAAGTAGCAAGCACTTTGGATACTGATTCATGCATAAATGCCATCAGGAGGTTTATTGCCAGGCGTGGTCCACCCAAGAGTATTCGATCTGACAATGGTACCAATCTAGTTGGTAGTGAACGGGAGCTTCGTGAAGCACTCGCTAGCTTCAATCAATCAAAGTTAGCTTCAGCATTGGTAAACGAAGGTATTGAATGGCATTTCAACCCTCCAGCAGCTTCACACTATGGTGGCATCTGGGAAAGAATGATACGAACTGTACGCAAAATCATGTACTCACTGATGCATGAGCAGGTCATAAAGTTAGATGATGAATCTCTAAATACACTTTTTTGTGAAGTTGAAGCCATAGTAAATGGAAGGCCAATTACAGATGTGCCATGCAGTCCTAATGATCTGACACCCATAACGCCGAATCATCTTCTGTATCTGAGGTCTGGTGAGACGATGCCCATTGGCACATTTTCTAAAGATGATGTGTACAGCCAGCGCAGATGGAAACAAGTACAATATCTAGCAGATATATTCTGGAAAAGATGGAGCAAAGAATACCTTCCCTTATCGCAGGAAAGAGAAAAATGGAACACTAGCAAGAAAAACATTCAAGTTGGAAATATTGTGCTTGTCATGGACAGTTCACCACGTAATGCATGGGCACTTGGTCGTGTCACTGACGTTTTCAGAGACAGAAGAGACTTAGTGCGAACTGTGAAAGTTAAAACTGCTACTTCTGAACTCACGAGACCTATTGATAAACTGTGTGTTATTCTGAAGAATAGTGATTGAATGTGTTCCGTGTAATATGGACAGCAGAGAAATACAACAACAGTATTAAAGGGATAAATGAACATTAACTGTAACTGACTAAAAAATTGTTTTATTTTAATTCAATGTGGAACGTTGGTTTGGATGATATTCTAAGTTATTTTACTTTGATTCATAAGAAATGTGCGTTTTGCCCCCAAGATACCCATTTAGTAATTGTTTCACTATTGTTCTACAATTAGGAGGCCGGTGTGTTGTGGCCAAAGTCAACTAATTACTCAAAATGAGAGAATCATTTTTCGTTTCCTTAAGTTCCAAATTTGTATCATTCCCTTTTTCACTTAAGTTCCTAATTTAAATTCATATTTCATTTAAGATTCTATGTTTTTGATACACCAGTCTATAAGTTACCCTTCCATACCTGTTAAGGGGAGGTAAATGCCTTGGGTCAGGTATATCATGCCATGTGCTCTCAGCATGCACATGCTCAAGTCACCAAGTTCACAAGCTAGAGGTCTAAAACAATGGTAAGCCACTTATCCTTTTGACTCAGACATAAAGTGGTTACATTAAATGCAATAATGCTTTATATATATATATATATTTAATATGTTAAGGTTACAGTAGTTCTGTGATATCCATTCTGAGCACAGTCACTTGTTTTCCCCATGTGTTGAGTATGTCACCATGTTAGCTCACCTTACCATACTTAACCTTTATGTTCATATGATATGCTGTGGAGTTCCATTTAAGTGAAGCTGGTTAACATTGAATTTTCATATGTTAAAAGTAAGAGAGATTTTCATCTCTTTCAGTCAATCTGCATTTAACTGATCTTGTATCAAGAAATAAGAAGACAAGAATAAAGCATTAAAGAACAAGCCACTTGGTTATTTCAACATATGAAAGCAATATACGTTCGTGAAAGTATATTTTCACATTTTCATTTTTTTTTAATTAGTGTCTGTTCTGAAGGGTCCGTGAAGAACTGATGTTCTCGGACACAGTACTTGATAGCACAAATACACGCGCGGCAAGGACATTAGCTGCACGAGATTCTGTGCAAAGGTCGACCGCGTATGATACAGATGTTAAAACTTTCAGTTTTAGGCGCTAGTGACGGTTGTTAATGGGTAACTCTCTCCACGTGATAGATGTTGAACTAGCAAGAAAAGTATAGATTAAATAGAAATACACATAGTCGAGAGAATTATCCATTAACATTTTGACAGTTGCTAGACGGGCAGTTTCCTCATATTAAGTTTAAACTTAAGTTTAAGTTAAAAAGGGGATTTCACGGTTAGTTGATTATAAGGGGATTTCACGTTTAGTTGATTATATGGGGATTTCACGTTTAGTTGATTATAAGGGGATTTCACATTTACTTGATTGAAAGGTAAGTCAATATTTATGTAGTTTTAGTTTAATTTTCCACTGCGTAACAGTGTCCAAACAGTGATTTGAATCCATGTGATACAACATATGAAAAATGGTACATCTCCAGGTATGATAACGTCCTTATAGAAATGGTTAAAACAAGTGAATCTAAAATAATGCCCTTTTGAGTAGCAATGTTCAATAAAATATTTTAAATGGTTGTTTCCCACAAATGAGGAGTAGAGCAATTATAGTATTATAGCAATTAAATGAAAGACTAACAAAATGGGCAAATGTTATGGATAAAGCTTCTGAAACTCGCTGGTTTTCGGATGGGCTATTCAGTTGTTTACCAAATCTTCACATTGTATGCTATCATCGAGAAAAATCTGTGTAGAAGAAGGTATTATAAAAGCTTTTGGTTTTGTAAATACAGATAAACTCTGGAAATTGCTTTCATCATACGGCGTAAACCAAAGTTGCAAGCTCTTATGAGTATTTCTAAGATGCCTAGCGGTTAGAACAATCGTAAAAAAAATACATTATCAGACAATAAAGGTATAGTTTTTTTATGACGTAACAATTGAATGACGTTATCCCGTCACTGCGCCATTCTAGTGTGCCCCCTCGTAATCGAACCATTTTAAATTACGTCACAATGTAAGCGACGTCACGATGCATGTCAGTTGTCATCGCCTCGTACGGCCTCCTACAGTAAACTACTCCGTTGCATCCCGTTTCTTAGTTTGCAGTTGCTTCATCCAGCTAACATCACTGGTGGAAACATTACGTTTATGTTTTACGACGGTTACAATGTGTCAATTCGACTCACAAGTTTTCAGCGACACGGTAACGTTCGCAATGTTTACATTCCCACAATGCAATCGTGGAATGTCGCTTGACTACTCAGCTTTATCTGAATGTACTGATCTAAACTTACGTTGGTAGTAGAAATGCGACGTTCATATTGCCCCATATGGTTTACGTTAATGACAGATGTAATTAAAATAATTCAGAGAAGATATTTAATCCGAATGTAAACCGTCATCAAACTGTTATCATTTGTTTTTTTCTGGCTACGTTCGTCTTAACGTATGGGGGCAGACATCAATAGAATAGCGCGCCAGTTAGCCCTGTGCGAGGATTCTTAATTTAGGTCACCGACACCGTCGTTTGTTTTCTGCCTTAAATTATTCGTAATTATCCTTAGAAAGTATTAAATTTGGCATCTTAGAAAAGAAGTACAGTTCGCTCTACCACCATGTATAGTGTAATAAAGCACACTTTTGCCCCGAACTATTATAACGTTAAAGCACTCGGACGCAAGCGTCCTCGTACTTTAACTATAATAGTTCAGGGCGAAAGAGTGTTTTATTACACTATACATGGTGGTAAAGCGAACTGGGTGCCGTTCCACTAATCGATCTTAGCCCTATGCCAATCGTAAACCCCTAAAATCCCAATCTTAGCGTGACGTTACGATCGGCATACCGTTCCACTAACCAATCTTACCTAAGTCAATCGTAAAGTTAAGATTCAAAGTCTAAGTTGCTCATGACCAACTTAGGA